TTTGTTTCGGGAGTCCTGCGCAGCACCACCACCGAGCTCCAGGATCTTGGCCTAAATCGGAAGACTTGGATAGACTTCTCGAAGTCAGTAGTTAGTCGGCTCAGGCTGCGACATGGCAAACGTTGAAAAAGGGCGACGCAGGTCCAGGCTCTAGCAGCATCCAACCTGGAAGAGAATCTGCTGCACGGCCAAGACATGCCTTCACGTGTTGCATGGGCCTCCCAGATTGACTCCGCGCCATGCAGCGTGGCACCAGTGAGCCACATGGAACGATTGCCCGGCATGCGACAGGCCACGCTCGGCGAGTGAAGCATCCGCATGCGAGACATGCCACCAATAGAAGCCCAACCTTGCTGTTCGAGAGTGCCGGGTCTTGGATCTTCAGGCGGGGAGGTTGAATCCAATTCAATCCAAGCCGTGGCACTGGATTGCCATGCGAAGCAGGGCGGCATCATTTGGTGCTGCCTTGTGACGGGAGATCCAGAGACAAAGGTCAAAGAGCAACGAAGTGCAACATAAGAGCTTCCTTATGCCAGCGTAGAAAAAGCACCGGGAGACCACGAAGAATCACCAAGTCACCACAAAACCCCAGCGACCACCGCAACACGGTCCAAATGTTTTTCCGGTACTGGACGGATTCAGGAGGTTGCGGGAGCGCGGCCAGAATACTTCCCCAAAATACTGGCGAATTCCGGAGAACAAAAACTTTCTTTCCGCCAAGTACAGGCGCATTTCAAGTGCACGACGCTTATCATGCCTGCTAACTGGCGGGAGTCAGCTCACCGAGTACTGGCGGCACTGGCGGGATTCAATGTTTTCGAGGCACTCGAGGCCAAAATGTGCGACAATTTACAATGGATTCAGGTCTCCCGGGGCCACAGCGGGAACGTTGTCTGCGCGCACTGCGTGGGCTAACCAATTCTGTTTACTCTTATCAGACTCTAAACGATAGAACCTCATGGTGCACATGCCACTAATGCCACTATTGGCAGAATCACATGTCACCTTGACGGCACTCCGTGAATCGGTTGCACTATTTCTGGTCCAGCGGCCTTCTTCTCAAACTGTCCTGAAAGTGCCACCTCCACGGCGGACGAAGAGAGCTCCTGCAACGAAGCACTGTGGAAGCAGATTCAGGTTGGGCAAGGCCCGGCTCCTCCACCATCTCTGTCCAATCTGGCCATCTCTCTTCTGTCACGTGCATACTCTGCACAGCAGCCTCCTTCGTCATTGACCATTCCTCCCACATTACGTGAAGTTCGAGGTGCAAAGCTCCGCCCTCTGCTGAGCACGGGCTGGGCAACACGTGATTGCGATAAGCTAGCTTTAAGCTCCTGTGGGATGTCATGACAGATGCTCTGCCAATGCGAAGCTGCGACACCTGAGCAAAGAAACGCAACGATAATCATGATGACGGCCTTAAGCTGCGTTGGTAACCCTGATGCCATCACTACCCTAAATGTTTTAGCTTGATGCCCGAGGCTCTAGAAGAGGCCAAAGCTGCTTCGCGGGCCGCTGCCCACACAATCCGTCGGCATCCACAAGCAAACTGGTAGGGAACCTTTGGTGCAAGGCACTGCAAGGGTCGATTTGATGGCCACGTCTTGCTGGTGTCTACCTCTGCAAACCTCAGCAATCTGATCTTCGCCTGACGTGTATACGGGATACTGCATTCGGCATGCGACCCCGCCCCACCAACCCAACCATCCATACCGGGCCCATACCCACCCACCCCCGCATGTCCGGAAATAGCTCACCGATGTATATTCCTCACTGTCCTTTCTTGGACCTTAATGCAAATCGCCGCTGCATCAGTGAAAGGCACATAACTTCTTCAGATCAAAGCTGAAGCAGTACAGCAAGTCTATTCTATGGAAATGCGTTTCGGGCTTTAGGGACCTGGATCGAGACCTTGGTCTATGTACATCAGGAATCTGCAAGATGGATGTACGCTATCACAAGCTGCAGTTGCTTTCACTGTGGAGGAGCAGAGGAAGGAGCAGCAGGAGGAGTGGCAGGAGGGGGAGGAGGAGCAGGAGGAGGAACAGAAGTAGAACCAGGAGGAGGACCAGCAGGCGTTGACATGCGGTCGATTGTAAAAAAATGATTTTGCTGCTGGTACAACTGCAGGTCTCGTTGTTGCTGATACTACAACTGGTGGTGTCGTGGGTGCAATATCTGGCGTGACTCGCTATGGGAACATTGGATACCTTGCATTCTCAGTCGCAGATGCAATCGACAAGTTTGCAATGCTGTCGAAGGAGGCCGAATGCGCCATCTTGTGGTTCCTGTAGAGGATCTACTGCGATGCGGACGAACTCCGCTTCGTGCGGAAACTTCGGCAGTCTGTCAAGCTCATTCTTCCGAAGTTGCCTGTACATGTCTTCAGGGAGCATTCAGCTGTATTCAAGTTATCCCCCGCTATCCGGGGGTCATGAGCAACTCTTTGCATGTGCACGAAAGCGAGCAGATCTCGCTGCCCGCTTCCCACTCATTTCCTCAGCTTCGTTGCATGTGGTAGGACTCGCCCGCCACATGCGCCAGGAGATTATCATTCCGAGGAAAGGAACGCCTGTGGCGACTTCGCGCGCCTCGTTATATACATTCTCTGAACCGATTTGTGGCGTATGTCTCTCGTTCAGTGAGATCTGTAAGGCGTGCGAAGGTCGCGTTCTGCCTCTGCCTGAGGGCATTCATGAACTCAGGGGGTTCATCTGCGAGAGTAAATTTGGTTCAAACGCTGCAGGACGATATCGAACTTGGCAGTCCAAACGATGAAATCTTGGTTGCCCTTCCATGCCTTGAATAGGTCCAGGAATCTCCGGAGGAATGTTAACCCTTCACGAAGAAGGGACGCATTTTCTTCTTGAAGTATTCTACTCCGAAGACGGCACAAAGCTTGTCGCGGTCTAATGTTGCTTTTTGCACTATTGCAAGACCGGAGAGCCTCGTCTTGGGAGACGGTCCTCCCTTTGTTTCATCCAGCGTTGTAATGTCGCACCAGTCATCAATGAGCTGTTCATACTCAAACCACGCAGTGCTGCCAGCATAGGCAGGTGATATTTTCGGTGTAAGACCGAGATGGCTGAGCATTTGGTCGCTCGATGTGCCATATGCCTGGCTTGCGGCATAAGACGCTGGACCTTGAGAGGTTTCGTCCTCTGAATAACGAATTGCTGTTGCTGCTATCATCTGAGTGTGACGACATCGCGCAACCTCGGCATTCCCCCTCCTAGTCGGTGAAATAGGGCTGGCCTATTTCGGGATGGGTCGTTCACTCTAACATGGCTACTTCTGCTTATCATTCTGTGTATCGTGTTTGTCTCGCTTCTCTCTCTCTTGCCTGATTGTCCATGGCATGTGGCTCGGACTGCGACAACATGCAAGACTGGAACTCAAGAAGAACAAACTTTCTCGCCGTCTGTGCACGCGAGTGATAGGAGCCCCTCGGCTTTGTGAAACAAACTCGAGATCTCCGGCGGCCTAAACTTTAGGTGTTTCGATTGGTGGCGGGTGTTAAGGGCCTGGGCTAAAGGGTTTAAGTGTCGCCGACTATGCCAGTGGACGTGCTCCAGGAGATCATCGGTGCTCGACTTCCCAAATCGAGATCCCCACAACAACTCGGAAGGCAAAACGATCGGTGCAATAGGTGGGTCTATGTTGAAGCCTGAAGCAAGGAGACGACTGAAACTCGAAGGCTGGAAGTTGGTGTATTTTCGAATCACCAGAGTCTCAGAGTCTTCCCAACCGAGCTGTTCACTAAAACTCGGACGGCAACTCAGCGATCGGCGCACGCAAGAGGTCCAGGAAGCCGTATGCCAAACTTATTGAACCCTTTTGCACTGCTAAAAACCCCAGGTCCATGATGCCCTCGGCACGCGCCTTGGGAAGCGATTGGCCGGAGCCCGCTGCGGGCCCTCGAGCCCAACACTGGCTTCACTCCAGAAAGCTGACAAGCTTCCCCCTTCGGTGGAAGCATGTAAGTGATATACCATTGCTGCAGGTACATGACATGAGTGCATTGCATTCCTGACTGCCTGGGGGCATCTAGGATTCAAGCAAGCAGGGGGGGCAGGGCGGGAGGGGAGGAGGGGGCCTTTCTTTTGCATCTGGACCGGCGGTCCCAGCCCACTTAGCTTACGCAGATACAAACGGCCTCACTACACCAGCTTTCTAGCTTTCGCGATTATTCGGTTTGTGTTCTTCGACTTTGGCACATTGCTGACAGGATTATGATAGCTCCGAAGGTATTGTGATGCGAAGCCGCTGCGAAGCGACAATGCACAACCTGCATGGGGCCTGTGGCTTTTGCTTGCGGTTTACTTTAGCCCAGCGCCCCGGATCATATCACACACTCAACAGACAGGTTCAGGCCACCAGGGCACGTAAGTGAACGGCTCGCTCCCAGACACACCATAGAACTCACAGTGCAGGTGAGGCCTTCCACATCCACGTGGCTTATTTTGACGGAGGCTCAGAGGTTCCGCCCACAGGTACACGCACGCACAACATCACACAAAAAGGAACAGCCGGCGCCAACACAATCACATCATGATCATGATGTGGCTTTCCGCCGCAAACTGTCCTGCACACTAAGAACTAAACCATTCGAAGCTCCGTTTGCCACAAATCGTATCCCTGCCTACCAAGACAAGTCGGTAGAACCAATAATCTCTAAGCTTGCCGATAAGCGACAACCTCGGGATGCTCAGCCAAGTCCGAAGCCATGAACTCAAAGGCCGATGTAAATCCACGACATGCCCCTCAATGTTTTCTCGCATCTGCAACCTGGCACGGCCGCCTCGTTCAAGAAGTCTTTGTTCCCTCACTTGGTTTACTGCTTGCTTCTGCTAGGCAACCCACAGCACAGGATGATATAACAACGACATGTACATGCACGTTCCCTCTTAAGCCGGTCTGCAGGCAGCCAGTCTGAAACTCTGAAGCTCAGCAGACAGACGTATCACTTCTGCTTCTGACTAAGTCACTAAGCCGCCGACCCTTGGACCGCAGATGCGCCTTCAGTTTAGTTGTATTTTGACTTTGCGTGCTTAGTCGGAGGCGAGAAGGGTGCGGTATTCTACTGCGAAGCATGCATTGGCTACACATGCCGAATTGCAAGTCTTGCATTACCAACCTGCGGATCCATCTTTTGCTTCAGGTCCTTACAGTTGCCAAACACCGAGCACACGAGACAAAGCACACTCACATTGAACGTGGCAAATATCCTTGTGTTTAAGAAGAATGTGTCTGCATCTGACCTCCCATGTGCAAGGAAAGCACCGACAACGCGTGCATGGCAAATTCATCCGAGCAGAACCGAGAACATTCTGGCATTCGGCCTTGTCACCGCCATCTTTCTTGGCCTTCTTCGCAGCTGGCTCAACATAGCCTGACCCAACCTGCAGAACGTGCAGTTACCATTTACAATTCATGCGAAACACCTGCAGCAGATATACACAACACCTCGAACACACCCACGATGCAGCAGCCAAATCGCTGTGGCCCAGTGATGCTTTGCCTGAGACGGTCCCAGGATATTATGGATCACAACCGCGACATGGCCAGGTATTGTCCACTCTGTAGCAGCTAGCGAGGCTCGCACGCAGCATTTTTGGCTGCGGCATCAGCTGCGACCAAGAGTGATCCGGCCTGATTTCAAAGGCTGTCACACTGCGCCCACGGTGCATCTGGACACACGCCTTGGGTTGCCCTGAGAAACCACGGATTCGTTCGATCACCTGGCGTGTGCAAAAGAAGCACTGGGCTACGCTGCAAAACAGCCGATACAGTACCAGCTGCAAACATGCACGCTGTTTGTACCGACCCCTCGCCATGTGAAGCCTCCTGGTCACTCAAAGATGTCGCGCCGGAGCCTTGTGCAGGCAATCCGCTACCAGCCACCAAGCGGCAGCACTTTTTCCACTCATCCCCCTCCTTCTGTTCCAATTCCCCTCCCAGGACTGCTCAAGGTAAAAAAGACTCACGGAGCAGTATCCTAACCTTGGCTTTCCTCTTTCGCCCATGTACTGAGGACTCGTGAGCCCACCAGCCCTATACTTCCGTCCTGGCCGCATCGGAACACCAAGGCACCTTCATAAGCAGAGAACCAACCTAAGAATCCTCTCGGCTTGCCACCCCGAATCAAGGAAGAATTGAAAGAATTTTCACGACCAGTGGTTGGCTGAAGTTAGATCATCGATCTAGCCATGAATCTGCACCCCTGGCCTCTGCGAGAGCCCATATAACGGCATCAACTTGTCACAGCTTCAAGTCTGAAGGGTCTGAACTCTCACAACTATTAGGGTTTTAGGACTTGGAGCAACTTGGCACCTGATTCTCGCCACAGCCCACTTAACATGGCTATAGATGGGATTACAGCGGACTTTGCTTCACTGCCTGCAAGAGCGCTCAACCATGCCCTACCGACCATTCCAGAAACAACACACGAACCAAGGGTAGGTGACATGAAGTGGCACTCACACAGTGGAATGCACAAGCTAAGCACGGGGCTCAGCAGCACGAGGTGGTGCCTCTGCTACAGACAACACCATTTCGCACTGGCAGAGGCCGCTCAGATAGTAAAAGCAAAGGCTCGAGCGAACCCAGCGCCTCCAGCTGGATGACGTCTATCTGAGGACGCAATCGGAATCGTGCCACTTAGCGCCCACTATAGAAACCCAAACACAATTGTCCGATGTGTCCCCCGCCTGCGGCTCCGAGGAAACAATTTTTCTAGGCAGCTTCAAGTCTCTCAAGCCCAGGGCACGAGTGACCTGGATCAAAACAAAGAGCCACTGCCATCATGAGTCGGCCCAAAACAGCAGAAGTAGTAGCTTGAATAGGGGGACCGGCAAGAAACTATACCAACCACAATGCAGTGACTGAACAGCATGGCCAAACACGATCTCGTGCTTGACTGCATGTCAACATGTAACCTGAGGTAACCTGGCGGACGGCTGCCGGGTACCAGCTACCAGTACCAGAAGCAGGGTGTCAACGGCAGGTGGAGCGAGGCACATTTGGTACATCTGCCCCCCTATTTGACGAACACTTATAGCTTCATTGCACATGAGAGGGCCAAACTGCTGCAAACGCCTTTCTGAAGATAGCTGTCACAGACTTTGCTTGTCCTGGGACTGTACACACACACACACACACTCCCTCTCTACCCCACTATGGGGTGCGGTCCTCTGTCTGCAAACCCAAAGGACGTAGCTGTATATCTGGGTGTTTATGCGTATGCGCGTAGGCGCATGCGCATGTACACGCATGCGTAAATGCATGCATGGATGTGCATATGTATGTATGTCTGCATGTATGTATGTATGTATGTATGTATGTATAAGCATCTCGGCTTACATGGCTGCATGGGCCTGGAGGGCCCTCCCCGACCTTGCCCCTTGGGGCCTCCTCTTTCTGTTTCTGGTTTGGTTCGCCGGGGTCCCTAGCAGGAGGGGCAAGCTGTGGGAAACGTTCGGTTTGCCGTTCGTTGTTAGAGCTTCAGAGGCCCCGGGGATGCCATGGCACCTGTGGACTCCTGGGCTCATGGCTGGAATAAAATCCCGAGGAACTTTTGGGAACCTGCACCACTGGAGGACTATGTTCGACGCGTCGTGGAGCAAAGAGTGTATCTTTCAGGATGGCACTTGCAGTCACCACGCCTGCAGATGGCCTTCAGGCTGCGCTGCAACAGGCTATGGGACCACGCTTCGGCCTTCATCATCCTTTACCAAAGCTGGTTTCTTCTTCGGGCTGCGGATCGGTACTCCGTTCTGGCTGATGTCTATGGCTTCGATGCTGTGTTCGGCAGGGCAATGCTCTGCGTCCTTTGCCTGCGACAGGCCCCAGAGCTGGACGAGATGGATTAAGGACCGACCAGAATTCCTGGGCGAGGTCGGTATCCCCATGATGGTTCGTCGCCCTCTCCGTGGGGCCTACAGACTGGCTAGAGCCTCATCTGTTCCAGTCAACCACCTGTTCCTTGAAGCACTATGGTCCATGTGGGCTCCTAGCTGTGTGCTGGCCATGATCCTGGGAGGGATGATCATGATTACTCACCTTGTATGCTTCCAGGATGGCT